GCTCAGTCTAGAACTATGTATGAGCCTAGCAGCAAATGAAGAGACAGAACTGTGATAAATGAGCACATTTAGCCAATAGAAATTCCAGAAGGGCTGGAAAGCATGCAACATACAGAGGAATGTGTAGAGAAGTGCATTTGGAGAGTCAGACAAGAGCTGTCCCTCTGCGTTACCCTGACCTCACTCAAGTTCTCCACTAACTGTCCTCAACAGAGCTTCTATAGAAGCAGACATCTCATGTGCATTTAGCCCATGTCAAGTGCTGAGATCTCCAAAGTAAAAGATATAAACCTGGCATTCCAAGTCCTCACATAGTCTGGTGGAGAAGACTAATATATAAGCAAATAATTAAGTATGGTATAATAGGCACTAAACTGCATGTTAACAGAAAAATGAGTGACTGTTTTGGAGAAATCATGGACATTTACTAAAAAGAATGACTTTAGAGCTGGGTCTTGAACGCACGGGAGGATATCAGGAAGAGGAAATTGTGTGTGCAAAGAATTAAAATATGTAATTGTTAAATGGCATTTTTGGTGAGTTTGCAAACACATTATTACTTCTGGAACCTAAATCCCAAGGAAGTGATGTGATGAGGCAAGAAAGGAGAACAGAGACATGTCCCTAAGCAGCCTTATAGGATGTGCTAAAGAGCCTGATGCTTATCAAATAGGCCAGAAAAAAAAAAAAAAACTTTTAAAAGTAATGAAAGATTCTGGGAGGAGAGTAATATAGTCTTATATGCCTTATGAAAGCTTATTCTCTCCAATGTCACAGCAATGACGATGGAAGGGAGCAAAAAACTTTGAGACCTGTTAGGATATGTTGGCCTTCTCCTAGCAAAAATAAAATGACATAATGATCATTCTCTGTATAAACTCTTGATTTAAAAATGCATATGCTTTTTGGGCCCAGCTCAATGGCCCAGTGGCTGAATCTTCACTTTGCATGCACCAGGATCCCATATCAGTGCTGTTTGTGACTTAGCTGCTCCACTTCCCATCCAACTCCCTGCTTGAAGCCTGGGAAAGCAGTAGAGGATGGCCAAGGCCTTGGAACCCTGCACCCATGTGGGAGACCCAAAAGAAGCACCTGGCTCCTGGCTTTGGACTGGCTCAGCTCCAGCTCTTGCGGCCACTTGGGGAGTGAACCAGCAGATGGAGAATCTATCTCTCTGTATCTCCCCATCTCAGCATATCTGCCTTTACAATTTAAAAAAAAAAAGTAAATCTTTTAAAAATATGCATATGTCTTTAAATGTTCTATCTACATTTACAAAATATAGTTCCTAACCCATATTGTTCATGTCTGATCTCGAACTTGCTTACTATTTCTGTTTTCAACCCACCATGTATCCAGTTAAAAAAAGCTATTTGATCACCACTATGGAAAACTTAATCCTCAATTAATAAGAGGCTGTATGATCTCACTAATGTACAGCTCCATCATCAGCTCTCCAGGAAAAGAAAGTCCCGATTTGTGTATTTGCCAATTTCCGTAGTGTAAATAGTCCTACAATAACTAGTTGCAAATAACTAGTTGCAAATAACTAGTTGACCACTGTAATATCAATGAGCAAAGATTTGAAAAGATGGCATTTCTATCACACAGACATAATCACTGTAACAACAGAAGAGCATAGAGAGCAATCAAATGGTTTGGGATATATTTTCAGTATGTCTTAACTTTAATAGAATATGTTTTGTTATAAGAATATAAAAGTTAATTGTGATAATGCTATGCTTAACAGCCAGCAAAATTCTTAAAAATTTAACAGTTGGATCTTAAGATTCAGTACAAGCTTGAGCCAGCCCACCATTGCCCACAAGTTTCCAAATCATTGAAATGATATGTATTACTCCAACTGTCACTGGTAGATTAAAGTGGGAAAATATGTAAACATTAGAAGGAAAACAACACCTCATAGGGAGCCAGAATATGTAAAATAAACAATAACCCTGCTAGGAATTTTTAATTCTACTGTGCATATCTATCATCATACAGCTAATTCCATATGATTCTGCATTTATACTGAAATACTAGAAGAGATAATCAACTTCCTTTTAGAGGTTATCAGAATTATAACTACTGATCAGAAATATAGAATGTGCATTTTGATTTAGTTTAGTTAATTAGTAATAAATTATGTAAGAAAAAATGAAATTATTTAAGTTCCTGACTGAAGTCCAGAGTTTATTAAATTCTGACAGAAGAGCAGAGTGCAGTATTGTCTAAAGGAGGCTTTCAAAATGTACCTTCTGCTGAACCATCTCTGAAAAGAAGAGAAAAGCCATATGCAACTTTGAAGTGGATTACCATAAAGAACGCACACAGCACTCTATCAAGAGACAGAGGCAGGTCTCCCTTAGGGCAAAAGAGATCCTTCACTTGGAGGTTGTGGATTCCCACCCCCCTTAGACCAGTGCATGCCCAACATCCAACCAGTGTTAATACACTGATGTTGAACTTACTTCTCCTCCGCCACCACAGAAAAGGAAGAACTGTTTATCACTCCTGTCTGCCCTCTCCGCCCTCCAGAACTCCTCTGTGGGAAATTAGGAGGTGAAATGGGCTGAGAGGCAAAGTTGTCTAGCTGGGATCCTGGATGTTGCGTTATTCTGATTGTTTGATACCAATCACTTGAGTTCTTTGAATAGCAGTTTCAAGAAATTTACAAGGAAGAAAAAATACCACATTGAGTTCTACTGAAAATAAGACTTTGCAGAGCAAAGTTACTGAAACACAGGTAACCACAACCACAATCTAAAAATGTTTTCCTGTTCTGAACCACCATTAGCTACTTTGGAGATAGCAGAGTAAGATTCTGGTCTATTAGATTACCTCTCCTGGTTTTCAGCATGACCCAGATTGGAGGGCCTTTTCTGTGTCTCTCTCTTTCCCCGTCTTATTCAGTAAACATCCATGCACCTGATATTGAATAGCAGCAGCAACAGACAATGGTAATAAGAGAAACTTTCAGTAAGCACTGAGGTTTGAATTAAAGACCCCCATCTAAGCCTTTGCTGAGCTGACAGTCCAGCATAAGGAGACATCATTATATAATTATCACTCAGTGCTGGACTTTTACAGTTACCTAGTTCACTATTTTTCTCAGCTTTTTCATATAGGAGACTGAGCCCCATTGAAGCTTAAATACTAAGAGATTAAATTAAAACACAGATTTTCTTTACTTCCTGCTGAATAAATTGACTTAAATGTCTTTACAAAAAAACTATCCTGAAAAAAGAGATTCATCCAAAACCTGTGGTAGAGGGAGGGAGAACTGCATAATTCAGAAATAATCAAGATATAATCAATTTAGGGCCTGGTGCGATAGTATAATGGCTAAAGTCCTTGTCTTGAATGTGCCAGGATCCCATATGGGCACTGGTTCCAATCCCAGCAGCCCCACTTTCCATCCAGCTCCCTGCATGTGGCCTGGGAAAGCAGTTGAAGACTGCCCAAAGCCTTGAGACCTGCACTCACATGGAAGACCCAGCAAGAAGTTCCTGGCTCCTGGCTTCAGACTGGCTCAGCTCCGATCATTGTGGCTGCTTGGGGAGTGAATCATCAGATGGAAGATCTTCCTCTCCATCTTTCCTCCTCTCTGTATATCTGACTTTCCAATAAGAGTAAATAAATCTTTAAAAAAAATCAATTTGAACATAAGAATACAATTATAAGATAGTTTGGAATTCAAACCATAAAACAATCTGAATACATTGAAATCAGCTATCACTTAGGATAGTGGATGGGTATTTTCTTTTTAAACTCTGTAGTTGTCCCTAATCTTCCCACTTTCCAGCAAGAGACAGGAATTTTGCAGTCGAGTCTAGTTGCATAATCCTAAACCTGGGATTTATGAGTGTGGTAATGGTAGTCAGTGAACCATTTAATAGTTGAAAAGAAAACACTTACTTGCAATAGGCTACACAGACTTCAAAAAATACTATTATTTGATTTCATCCAGAATTTGATGAAATCATTGCAGAACCTGGTTACTTTCACAACCAGGTTTTTATTGATGCCATCATGGAATGTATCGATGTATCATTTTAAACCTTGAACTCGGAGCTGGCTTCATAGCATAGCAAGCTAAGCTTCCACCCATGGTGCTGTCATCCCATATGGGCACTGGCTCAAGTCCCAGCTGCTCCCCTTCCAATCCAACTCCCTGCTAACTGCTCAGGAAGGCAACAAAAGCCAGCCCAAGCTCTTATATCCCTACACCCTTGTGGGAGACCCAGAAGAAGTGCCTGGCTCCCAGATTCAGTCCAGCTCAGCCAGCTGTAGCTATTGTGACCATCTGGAGAATGAATTAGTGAGCGAAAGGCCTCTTTCTCTCTATCTCCCTCTTTCTCAGTATAATGCAACTCTGATTTTTAAGTACATAAATGAATCTTTAAAAAAAAAAAAAACCTTGAGCTCATGTTGGTAAAGAATTGTCGTAAAAGAGCTCTGAAAAACTTAGTAATAAGTGTGCTAGGTTTAAAACAAAAGAAATTTTACTAGCTACTTCAGCAATAGCTACAGAAATAATTTATGGGAGAAAAAGTTTTCACATATTACCATTCCAGTGTACATTTCTCTAGGGAGAATAAGAGAATTCTGCAAGCATAGTTGTATCTCAACAATGCTTGTAGTTACATAAAAGACCATTTTCAAAACATTTACTTCTTTAAGGGATAATACCTTTAGGGGTTGAATGTTGAACTTCTGTGTATCACTGGAAAAAAGCTAAGTTGCATTTTGACTATGATTTTAATTTGAATTTTAGTCTCATTTATCATGTGTTTCTTACTCTTAAAATGTGTTCTCCCATGAGAGCTCTTAAATTGTACTCTGTAATTCCAGACTTTTATATCACATATCTGTACGAGCCTAAAATAATTTAATGTATAACTTTTCTCTTAGAGTTTCTTATATTTACTAGCAAACAATTTTGAGTATTTCTTTTAGTAAACTTATGAAGATTAATGTATGACATGTTCTTCCTACAGAATTATGAAATTTCATGTTGCAAAACGCAAGTTTAAGGAAACACTACGCCCATATGATGTAAAGGATGTCATTGAACAGTATTCTGCTGGTCATCTAGACATGTTGTGTAGAATTAAAAGCCTTCAAACACGGTGAGCAATAAAATGTCATTCATCGTAAGGAAATGAGTGTATTAAAAACTATCTGGGAGGAACATTAGTAAGAAAAACTCTGAATCCAGTATTCCTAATTCATTTTTGCAGGTATAATTTTTTGCTGTTAACCTTTTTTTTTTTTTTTGCTTTAATATAACTGTCAATCAGGCATTACATGCACTCAACTGTTATCAGTTTTCTCATTTATAAATATGGAAGAATATTGATGCTTGCTGTACATGGTTAGCTTAAAGACTGGACAAGTTAATACACATAATTTGGAATACATGATGGGCCTAGCACTGAGTTCTCAATAAATGGTCATGGTTGTTGCTTATGTTTGGATTATTGCTTTTAATGATGATGTTCCTCTTGTTTTTGTTACTTCTAAATCCTAACCATCCTATAGGAATCAGCTGGCCTTTCTCAACCCTCTAGGCCATGGAAATAGGTCATCCTTCCCCTTGACATTATGTAGCATTGTGTCTGCTATAGAACACAAGAACACTCATGAGCTTGTTACATAGGCCAAAGAACTGAGCCTCTGCATTGATAGTGATTCTTGGTTGCTCTTAACTAAGACTGGATGCATGGTAATGGATAACCTGCTGGTGAGCATCTTCTTGAGTGATGAGAAGAAATTAGTTCATTGAGTTCAGTGTATTAATTCAACCACATGTGACTGGTGTGGTCATCTCACGGCCAAAATATTTAGCCAACTGAGTTTTATAAAATCTTATCTTAGTATTAAGTCCATCTTAGCAGCACTTGCAGTTGAATAATTCTTAAAATACAAGGTCTAAGTCTTTTCACATAGATTTATTTGAAAGGCAAAGTTACAGGGGGAAAAAGCAGAGAGAGGAGAGAGTTCTTCATCCACACTGGTTCACTCCTGAAATATCCCAAATGGTGAGGGTTGGGCCAGACTGAAGCCAGGAGTGTTAACTCTGTCCAGGTTTCCCACATGGATGGCAGGAATCCAAGTACTTGGAACATCCTTTGCTGCCTTCCCAATCACATGAGGAAAAAGCCAAACTGAAAGTGAAGCAGCTGAGACTCAAACCATCATTTAAAATGAGATGCTGGCACTATAGGTGGTAGTTTAACCTCCTACACTACAATGTTTGGCACCCAAAAACTGAGTTTCAAAAAAATTTTTTTTTATGAATTCATAGCATAGTTAGCCCAGTGTGAGGCAAATACTGGGCCTTTAGTAAAATATCTGTTGATGAATTATAGAAAACACATTTTTTGGGCCTGGCGCGATGGCGCAATGGCGCAATGATTAAAGTCCTTGCCTTGCACGCCCGGGATCCCATATGGGCACCGGTTCTATCCCGGCAGCCCCGCTTCCCTTCCAGCTCCCTGCCTGTGGCCCGGGAAAGCAGTTGAGGCCTGCCCGTGGCTTTGGGACACTGCACCCGCGTGGGAGACCCGGAAGAGGCTCCTGGCTTTGGATCGGCATAGCATCGGCCGTTGCGGCTCGCTTGGGGAGTGAATCATCGGATGGAAGATCTTCCCCTCTGTCTCTCCTCTCTGTATATCCGCCTTTCTAATAAAAAAATAAAATAAAATTAATCTTAAAAAAACAAAAGAAAACACATTTTGTTCACTCATTCAGCTGATAATTGACAAAACATTACCCAGCCATTATAAAGCCTATAACTGAATAGATTAGATGCTATGGCAGAAAGTAGGTGTGCCTATGTTTCTGTGCAGACAAGTAAACTGAATAGTTAATGCTTCTGACAACTCAATTGTAAAATACAAAAAAAAAAAAAAAGAAAGAGATTCTCATTTAGGCTGACCAAGTCTTTCTGGAAAGTGCTTTAACTCATCCTGTGGTCACATTACAATCTGTTTGCGAGTAGCTCAGCTTAGTTACAAAGGCTATCAAGGCTTTTACAAACGTGAACTGGTACAGAATCTGTAGAAGTAATCTTGAGTTCCCAAGCCTTGCAAATTCTGCAACTCAAAATCCAAAAAGAGAGAGACCACAGCTTTTTACCTGATTATCTTTCATAAATCAGAGGTACAATAAATTCTCATGACATGATCTGTTTGATTCATGAAAAATAACTGGTTAGAGGAAGAAACAAATTAGTTTGTCTTTGACAGTTCTGCCCCTCTGTCATTTATTAGTAATTTTATCATATAACAGAATAATGAGAAGCCAATCTCATGTATAATCCGTGTTAATAATATAAACACACTGTTCCCTGCTGATGTGTAGCTAGGAGGCAGCTGATGTTGGCTGCAGGAATCTCTGCCACCCAATCAAGGCCTGGATTGGGTCCTGAGATCCTGCCTTCAACCCTACCTAACCCTGGCTGTTGCCAAGTATTTGGAGAGTAAATCAGCAGATGCAATTCACTTCCTCTCTCTCTCTCTCTCTCTCGCTCTCGCTCTCGCTCTCTTTCTCTTTCCACCCCTCAAATTAAGAAAACCAAATAGAGGCACAGCAACTGGAAAAAGTTCATCCTTATTTCTTCTTATATAGGCTAAAGATAATGATATTTAGTTTTTTTCGACTTCCTTCATTCTGGCCTAGGGGAATCTCCATCTTCAGTGCTTATAATCAATGCTTATGTCTTCCTCTGATAGTGTTGATCAAATCCTTGGAAAAGGGCAAATCACGTCAGATAAAAAGAGCCGAGAGAAAATTACAGCAGAACATGAGACCACAGATGACCTCAGTATGCTTGGCCGTGTGGTTAAGGTTGAAAAACAGGTAAAGCTTGACTACCCTGGCTAACTTTGTAGCCAAATCTCTTTAAATCAAAGCTGATATGTAGACAATTGGACATTTCTTAGTGATTCATATATTTTTTTAAGAAAATAAAATCAAGAAAGAGTATATAAAATTATATTTTTTGTGTACAGGCACTTTTCAATAAAACAGTCTTGAATTTCACCAAAGGCATAAAAACTTTTATCTCACTAATTAATACATAACTGAAAGCAGTTATGTATTTTCAGTTTTTAAATCACAAAGAAATCTACTTTTCATTTGTGTTTTCATTATTTTAACTGTGTCTTCTTTTAGTTTACTCTTAAAAAAAAGAGCAAATCTAAGTATAATTATGATGACCTGTAGAATTTTAACCTTTAGCTGCTTCTCCCAGGTCTAAGGATACATATTCAAAGCATTAGTTTTTAAGCCATCTGGTTCCTTCGTTTTGTAAGAACCACCTAGATAAATACTTAAGGTCTTAATTTCATAACAAAAAAAGTTCTTTTCTAAAATTCCAGAATGTCTTCCTTATGAAGAACAGGCGATTTGGTAAGGATGAAGAGCCTCGTTTGTTGTTTTACAGAGCTTAATTGACTTCTGAGAACAACTCCCATTGTCTATTTTAAAAAATAGAGGTAGGAGTGCTGATGGGCATTGTAAGGAACCAAGGCCTCTCTCCTGGCTCCTCCACCGGCTGGGTATTACATTCACCAGGAGTCGAGATTGTACTGAGCATTGTACTCAGTGTTTAGGTGATTGGATTGACCCACTCTAGTATCATTTTTAGTTTCACACTTATTAAGTCTCTCCTTAATAATAGGTTACTCTCATGTGCAACCATTTTTCCTACTTTTAGGTTCAGTCAATTGAAACCAAGCTGGACTGCCTGTTGGATATCTACCAGCAGGTCCTCCGGAAAGGCACCGCCTCTGCCCTCACTTTGGCTTCATTCCAGATCCCACCTTTTGAATGTGAACAGACATCCGACTATCAAAGCCCTGTAGACAGCAAAGATCTGTCCAGTTCTGTGCAGAACAGTGGCTGCTTAACCAGATCAGCTAGTGCCAACATCTCGCGAGGCCTGCAGTTCATTCTGACACCAAATGAGTTCAGTGCCCAGACTTTCTATACGCTTAGCCCTACTATGCACAGTCAAGCCACACAGGTGCCAATCAGTCAAAATGATGGCTCCGCAGCAGCGGCCACCAACGTTGCAAACCAAATAAATGTGGCACCCAAGCCAGCAGCCCCAACCACCTTACAAATCCCACCTCCTCTCCCAGCCATCAAGCACCTGCCCAGGCCAGAGACCTTGCACCTAAACCCCGCAGGCTTACAGGAGAGCATTTCCGACGTCACCACCTGCCTTGTTGCCTCCAAGGAGAATGTTCAAGTTGCACAGTCGAATCTGACCAAGGACTGTTCTCTGAGGAAAAGCTTTGACATGGGAGGAGATACTCTGTTGTCTGTCCATCCCACGGTACCGAAGGACTTGGGCAAATCTTTATCTGTACAAAATCTGATCAGGTCGACAGAGGAACTGAATATACAGCTTTCAGGGAGTGAATCAAGTGGCTCCAGGGGCAGTCAAGAGTTCTACCCCAAGTGGAGGGAATCCAAATTGTTTATAACTGATGAAGAGGTGGGGCTTGAAGATGCAGAAACAGACACTTTCGATGCCGCCCCGCAGCCTGCCAGTGAAGCTGGGTTTGCGACGGACTCTCTAAGGACTGGAAGATCACGATCATCTCAGAGCATTTGTAAGGCAGGGGAAAGTACAGATGCCCTCAGCTTGCCCCATATCAAACTGAAATAAGTTCTTTGTTTTCTTTCTAGGCATAGCAGTTCCTTTAGCCATACATATCATTGCATGAACAATTTTGAAAGCCCTTCTAAAAAGTTGAAATCGCAAGAATCAGGAAGAACATGAAAGGCAGTTTATAAGCCTGTTATCTTTTCATTGCATGAAAATGCATGTTTAGGGATGGCTGAAATTCCAAGGTGCATCAATGTTAACTCAGTCATTTAGTAATGTACCTTGAGTTTAAAATCCTGGGAAACCAAGCACCACTAATGCTAAGGGGTATGTGGAAATGTCAAGAATAGGTCATTTAGAGGACTTGACCTTGTGTTTTGAAATAATGAGAGTAAACACCTTCAAATTTCAGGCATTTCTGCTTTGTAACTAAATATAAACACATTTTCAAATTAGACCATCTTGTATATTTAAACACATGGCTAACAACAGCTGCTAACAAGGTCTCAAGTAAAGCAGAATTTGGGAATCATAGAAATGGCTGCTTATTTCAAGACGTATTTGCCAACCCATTCCTATTCAGACATTTTATAATTAATGTAATTTGAATGTCAATTTGTGTGCTTTTGGTGACTTAGCGCTGTGGCAAGCAGTTTTGCACATTATTTTCATATTTTTCTTTATGATGAGAATGTTCGATTAGAAAAGGTGGGAATAATGAAATTCAGGGCCAGTGGGGCAAACAGACTTTGTAACATATCTGACCCTATGGAAGCATACTCTCTAATGGCAGGATCAACTTTGTATCCAGTCAGCTTCCATGTATGGAATAGTGATTATTAGAACAATGACACCATCCCCGAGCTTGCTGGGATTGCCAACCAAAAGGACAGCCATGAAAGGCTAGTCTCAGCTGACATACAGGAAGGACAGCAGTACTGGGACACTTGAGAGGGACGGAGCTAGGAAAGACATGCAAAGAAGCCAGAAGCAATACCAGGAAGTAGATCAGGTTCAAGAAAATGACTTCCCACGCAAAAGGCCATGAGCGAGAAACATACCAAACTGAAAGTTAGACTTTTTTAGAAAATGAATATTGCTAGGAAATGTAACTACCTAAACTTTCCTTATATATAACAGAGAATTTTTCAAGGTATTTATTTTTTAATATGCCCTGAATGTCATTTGCTATTGTGTCGTATGTTTTGCATATGAAAAGCTAAAACAAAACTTCCTTTACTTTTTATACTGTTGTGAATATTTTCTATTCTCCCCAAGAATATTGTCCCAATTCCGCAGTTACTAGTTCTTTTCCAGGTATAAACATTAACAATTAGAAACCAGAGAGCGCAGGCAGGGTTTGCACGTCAGAATTCAAACAATATATCATATTACAGAAAATCCAGGGGAAGCAAAATGAAAAACTTATTTATCAGAAAGCACACTGATCAGCTATCTTAGGCCATTAGAACTTAGAGCCAAAGTATTGCATTCAAAAGGCAAAGAGAGACATGACCCAGCATCTCAGTTCATTTAAAACTGCACCCCTAGAAGACAGGAGAAGCGGGACCTTTAAATTTGGCAAACATGCTGCCAAGCAGAATGAGCAGGGATATCAATTGGCAGTCAGAAAAAAAGACTCTGAAATCTGCCAGTCCTTCCCAGTTTCCTTTTCTTCATTCCTTACTCTCCTCATCCTTAACTACTTCCTGATCCCTGCTACTACGTCACTTCTGAACCTCCCCAAGTCTAAACCAGCCTCTATTCCAAGGAACTAAATTCTCCACTCCCCCAAAAATGTGCTTCTCAAGACTTTCAAATCCTTTTGATAAACACTGAAACTTTAAACACTTCCTCTTTGCACCACACTTGGATGCTAACACTGTTGGAATGTATCATTCAGAATATTCTTGGCTCCTGAAGACTTACAGAGGATAGATTCTAGATTTTTATACTCCAGTTAAAACGATTTTGCCATGCTTTTAAAGCAATTATTCTCATTATCTAAACATAGAATGTGAATAAATTATGACATACAATTTTTCATTTCCACTCAATCTGGGTGGTATTACACTTTCCAAGGAAGTTGCACACATAAGCACACAAACACACATGCACATATCCCTCCATTGACCCAAAACCAAATACTTGGCCATGAACTTGGCAGGCTCTTTTTCATACATTAGCCAAGGAAGAGAAAGGTGGCAGCAACTTTCTGGTAGCACTGATTCTTGGACTTGCCATATCCTGAGTTGAACCCAGCTGTCAGCAGGAATTCTGAATGTATTGGAGATTCCTACTGAGACCTCAAACTTTACAGTTCATCCAGCGTTGCTGAAGACTGAAGATCCAGAAACAAAGCCTAAACACATCACAGAGGTCTTAATCAGAGCAAAGTGTGACAAACATTATCGTGAAAAACGTACGAACATTGGAGCCTTGACCATTTTATGTCTTTCTTACTCTAGCACAAATCCTTCTTGGATGTTGAAAGATAGTTGTGTTGTGTGAAAACTGTAGGGTTCTATCTGTTGTGTTACTCTCTATGTTAATGAGAGGGGCCTCCCACATGCACTTAGCAAAGTCCCACTGGTCAATCCCAAATGGTGTTGTGAAGCACAATTTAGCTGACTACTGAGTAGCTATATGCTTTCTCAGTTCAAGTTTGTTGCCCTCTTCGATATGTGGGGTTGATCAAGGTAATAATCGCAAATATCCCTTTTATGAGGTTAACTAAAACATATTGCTATTTCCAATCATAAATGTTTGCATTTTGTTTTAATGATTTAATATCCATAGATTCCAAGTATTGTTTGAAGTAAGACATTTTGTTGAATTTTTAAGTCCTAATACTTGTTCTTAAGGTGCCTTTCTCACCTCCAAGTGATAGAAGCAATGAATCTGAAAGTTCCTAACTTACAAGTAAAACAAATCTACTGGAGGAGGAAATCAGGCACAGAGTGAATAATTCTCACACCCTTTGCGAAGCAAAACATAACGAATAATGAAACCAGGGCAACTAAATTAATAGATCACTTCATTTAATCAGACTGAGAAAAATATCATAAACATTAACTTATCTCCCCAAAAAGCTTTTTTCTTTTTTGCCTTAAATGACATGGTTGTGCTTTTGTAAGAGAAACTTAATTTAATATAATTGTGTGCATTTAAGTGAGCAATTCTAAAAGTCATCTATGAAATGCAATTGTCTGTTTCCTGAAAACAAATAAATCAGGAATATCATATCCATTTCAAGCTACCATTAAAATCTAATTTCCTTTGCTCTCTTTTAGTGAGATTATTTGTTTTAAAGTAAAACATTAAAAAAGATGTCTATAAACAGCTAGTGTGTCTATTTTTATTGGACAGCGTGCCGGTTGGTTCTGATCTGATTGCTCCAAGTCAACTGAACAGACAATGTACAAACTTTGGAATAAAATTTAAAGCTGGCTTTCCTGCGATGTTGCTGAGACACATTTGACATTTGGGAAGAACAGAGATTTGCATATGCACTTGAGGGTCTCTTGAGAAAAAAATAACCTGCAGTAATCACAATTCAGATACAATTCAGATACAATGTGAATTTTATGTCAGCCACAGATCGAATACTCATAATATAAAATACCAGAAGTATTTCAAATGTTTTAGGATTTGGGGATATTTGCATTCTATTCATATATTCATAATAGGATGTCTTGGGGATAGTGACCAAGCCTAACCATGAAATTCATTTAAGTTTCATATATACCTTATTATGTAATATGAAGTAAATTTTATATAGCATTTTTAGTATGGATGGAACAAAGCATCATGGCATGGTACAAAATTATTTGAAAAAAAGTTTAAGTTTTCAGACCTGTGTTGTGAATTGAGCCACTATTGTGCAGTGTCAACACTCCGTATGAACATCACCGATACAGCTCCAGGCCGTCGTGCCTGTGAATGCAGAGAGGATGGCCCAGATGACGGGGCCCCTGCAGCCACATGGGAGCAGAGGATATTGGCTCCTGGCTTCTTCCTGACCCAGTCCTGATTGTTGTAATCATTTAGGTGGTGAACCATTGGGTGAAAGATCTCTTTCTGTCTCTCCTCTCTTCTGAAACTTTTTCAAATAAATAAACATTTTTAATAAATAAATAAATAATGCAAGGGTAGAAACGCTTTGCATTATAACTTGTGCTTACCATTCCACACCGCCATGTATAGGCATGGAATAGGTCAATGAGTCTTATCTTCTCTGGACATTTTCTTAAAATGTCAATAACTGAGCGCTGGCACCATGGCTCAACAAGCTAATCCTCCCATCTTCAGTGCCAACATCTCATGTGGGGACTAGTTGGTATCCCAGCTGCTCTACTCCCACCCAGGATCCCTGCTTGCAGGCTGGGTAAGCAGTAGATGGGGGCCCAAAGCCTTGGGATCTTACACCTGCATGGGAGATCGGTAAGAAACACCTGTCTCCTCCCTTCAGATCAACTCAACTCCATCCATTCGAGGAATAAACTAGCACATGGAAGATCTTTCTGTCTCTCCTTCTCTCCACAAAATCTGTGACCACTCTAAAAAGTTAATTTCAACCACTTTATCGGATATCCAGAAGAGACAGTGTGTCATTTATGACATCTGCTAAGGCCAGAGACAACTTATTTTTAAAATTTGTTTGAGAGGCCTGGAGATTCTTCTGGTTTTCCTGCATGGGTTCAAGGGCCCAAAGATATGGGATATCTTCCACCTTGCCGAGCCAGCAGCCGGTGGCTGGCAGCTTCCTTCCGCCTTGCGGAGCCAGTGCTGCTGGCAAGTTCACTCTCTTACCTGATCTCTGAGATTTTTGGGACTTGCACTGGGGGCTATTGGAGCTGGCCTGAGATCATGCACATGTTTTTGTCCCAAGGACAGGTGGGGGGGGAGGAAAAACCCCATGCTAGCATGATGTGCAAGTGGCCTAGGCAGGGGTCTCATGCATGCACTTGTGTCCCAGGAGGAAAAAGGTGTAAGGTCCCAGGTCAGCACACATGCCAGAGGACTGGGTCTGGGGGCTCTTTTGTGATCTTGGGTTCCTGGTGGGTTGGCAGAGCTACCAGACCAGGACATTGTCCTGCCAAA